GGCATCCTCCCTTGACGAGGGAGGGCAAAAACCCGCGCCTCCGGCAATCGCCGCGAGAGTTCGGGTAATGCCCATCCCCAAGAACATGCACCCGCAAGTCAACGGGGGCAGGAGACTCGCAAGGGTCCGGTACCTACGTAGGCGATACCACGGAGACCCTGACGTACTTTATACGGACGCTGCTTCCTATTCTTCACCGATTCTTCACCCTCGAGTGGCAAATGCATCGCGGTGTGCGACTCGGACGGCAGGAATGGAACTTCGGCATCCCTGAGGGGCGCTCCATTCTGCGCTGAGGCCGAGGAAGCGGCGATAGCTTTAGCCATATCGACCACCCAGTATAGAGCAGAATTTGATTGCAATACCACCGTTACCATCATAACTGATTCTCAAGCCGCGTGCAGGGCCTGGGCTGGAAACTTGCTTTCTTCCTGGAGCAACCAAATTCTATCTAACCGCGATCACACAAGACTGCCTCTGGTCCGGATAGTCTGGACACCCCGCCATGCCTCCCTCCCCGGCAACGGGAGCGTAGACGCCCTAGCCCTCGGATTAACTATCCGGGCTTTGCATAGGGAAGGGACGACTGTTGGGGACAACACTAGCCGCGAGGACGAGCAGGAACGCGAAACACAGACACAGCACCTAGAAACCTTCAATCATGTCACCGAGTACTACCGCTCGCAGCGCAAAAAGTACCCCCCAACCCACAAGGACCTTAACAGGCAAGAGGCCTCCGAATGGAGAAAACTCCAGACTCACTCTTTCCCTAACCTCCTCCACCTTCATCGATTCTTTCCTGACAGGTACCGGAGTGTACGCCCGGGCTGTCAATCCCCTGAACCCTCCCTCTACCACTGTACTTGGGCATGTCCTTCCCCTGTCGGGGTAGGACTCATGCCCGTTCCTAACCCCACTACAACCTCCTGGGAGGCCGCTCTACTCAGCTCACGCCCCGAGCGGCAGCGAGCGCTGCTCGAACGGGCTAGACGGGTAGCGGTGGCCTGCGGGGCCTTGGACTTGGGGACCTGACCCGGGGGGCGTCATTACTGAACATACTGAATTAAAGTTTGTACCACCACCACCACCACCATCAAGTAAGTAATTTAGGACACTGACCGCCAGCCAGGATGTCCCCAGGAGGAACGCACCTTGATAGTCCATCAGGGCCCGTTTGCTCGAAGCACTAACCGCGGCTAAAGTTAGCCGCAGTACCTAGGAAAGGGATTTTGAGATCACGTGACTGGCTCGGTAGGGATGCGGGGAAACATGGCGGTGCCCCAGTGAGTGAGCGCCACTCGCTTTGGAACTAATATGTCGTTGTGGTTGCAATATCGGGCGCGTTAGTCAGCAACGAATGGTGCAGAAGGCTTTCGCTTTGCCTTACCTCACTTAAACCGCAAAGCATGGACAATGACATCGCCTCATTTTTTAGATAGTGTTTCGATCCTGGGCACTCCTAAGCCTAAATGAACGCGATAATTGTCGGCATAGCAACGTTTTTGGAAAGCGGATTGTTGATAGCACACAAAAGCAGACGGCGTCCCAACAGATTTTTTTTCTAAATTATCCAAGCACCGAGGTGCATGCTACGACTGTAGTTTCACGCGTCGCACGTGCTGGCGTCTGCAGTAGTAACCGTTCTAAAGCAAAAAGTATAAAACAAATTTTGCCTTGCACGCGCGTTCGTTAAAGCCTTATTGTGATTTTTTACTTCAAATCTTTTATAAGAGGAAAGCCAGCGCGCGTGAACCGTACAATTACACTTCCAGCGTTCTCCTCGCGATGCTTGGACAATTTAGAAAAAAGTCTGTCGGGACGCTGTCTGCTTTTGTGTGCTGTCAACAATCCGCTTTCCAAAGACGTTGCCATGCCGACAATTATCGCGTTCATTTAGGCTTAGGAATGCCCAGAATCGAAACACTATCTAAAAAATGCAGCGATGTCATTGCCTATGTTTTCCGGTTTAAGTGAGGTAAGGCAAAGCGAAAGCCTCCTGCATTATTCGTTGCTGACTAACGCGCCCGATATTGCAGCTACAACGACATATATGATAGTTCCAGAGCGACCGGCGCTCACTCACTGGGGCACCGCCATTTTTCCCCGCATCCCTACCGAGCCAGTCACGTGATTTCAAAATCCCTTTCCTAGGTACTGCGGCTAACTTTAACCGCGGTTAGTGCTTCGAGCAAACGGGCCCTGATGACATCCGACGTCCTCAGGAATACGGGTTCTGAGCAGAGCGCAGATGCACCCGAAGCATTTTCCAGAGACGCGCTCGCAATCTGAACCTCGCGCCACAACCCATACCTTACTTCATAAAAAAGCGTGCGATGCTGTCAAAAAAACGCAAACTCGTTTGCACGTTTGTCCGTGCAAGCTAAGCGGGTTTATAGTAAACGCGCAAGTTCACTATCCAGTGTTGCAGGCTAAACAATAATAACAAGATAGGGCAACGCAGTAATACCAGTAACCCACGCCAGTGCTAAACACCTAAAGCCTGGTTCAGACAGTTGCGTTTGGCTGCAAAAAAGCAGGACATCCCTGCTACTTATATTGTGTACCAAGATGATTGATTCCTTGAATTGGATTCCACGCTTCATACGAAGCACATATGTGCCGGTGACTCGCTTTTGGTTTTGCAGTCAAACGCAAGTGTCTGAACCGGCCTTAAATCTCTTGGACAAAGCCTGGGTACTGTTAGTATCGTAGCGCGAGGCTCTGGCCACGCGCTACTCTAAAAAATGATTCAGCTGCATGTGCGCCCGTCTAATGTATTTCACGCGGAGCCTCCAGACAACAATCGTTGTACTAACGTTCTACTCTCCTGCCATGTAGAATATTTTTGCATTGTAGTAGCCTATGTTTTTTTGCGCATATCCGGCCCGGTAAACTTCGTATAATTTAACGTCCTCAAATCGTCCGTCGAAGTTCCTAATGTAATCCACACTCATGACGAACTGCCTTTCGTCAAAGACGAAATCCACTAAAACGTTCATAGCTTACAGACAGGATCGACAGGATGAGCGGTCACAGCGACGAACGAGTGACGAATCCACCGCGGGCGAAAGCGTTGGCGTCGTCAGCGAGGTTTCTGATCAAGATTGTCGGAAGTCCTGCTTGTTTTCTCCCTAGCACTAGCGGTTTCGCTTTTGCAGCAAAACCGTTTGCTCGTGAACGCGGAAACTTTACTTTTCCCCGAAATTATATAGCTTGACGTAATACTCGCAGGCTCGTACCGTCAAACCTTACATCCCCTGACTGTTCGTCTGTCCGCACGTCAAGGGTTCCTGACGGGCCGACAGAGACATTCGATGTGCAATCAGGATCGCCACCAAAGTATCTTGATGGCATTTCGCGGTTGCCGTCTGCTACCAGAAAGCCGATAAACGCAGTCTGACGGTCAGGGAGACTGCGCTTATCGGCCGATCAGAGATGCTTGACGTATGTATAAGCCAGGCACGGTTGGCTGTCCATTAGGAAACACTGACTGCCCGACAGGATTCCATTGGTAGATTTTTCAATCGGGTCATCTCCTTTCTTCCTTCCCTCTGCTTTCTTATGTTACGTGCTGTACGCTTTTGGTGCCATTCACAGTTTCAAGGAAACTACAAAGCACAAAAAGAAGAGACGGCTACCCGACGATCAACGTAGATGTATAGAAAAACGGACCTAATTTTACCATGAAAAACATGTTATTCGAAATCCGCCCGATTAGCACCGCTCAGGCTACCACGATGGACCAATTATAGGGACATTAGGAAAACTGGGCAGACGCGCAAAGAAATTGGAATCCCGCAGCTAAATATAGTCTTGGTGTTTCATCTTATGTGGTGTTGATTATTTTTTTTCAAATCCTACTTTTTTATTAGAGAGATATGTCCTAATGTTTCAGAAAACGAAAAATGTTTACATGTGCTGGGATTGCCTTCTTTTTTTTTTTTCAATATATATATATTTTTTAACTATAGCTTTGATGGAACAGAATAAAAAACCGCCTTCAGGATGTCGTTGTAGGGCTGCGGCGGTCGACAAGGGCACGATGTGTAGCCTGATATTTCGAAAATTAATTATTCCAAGCTAACTAATTACTTTCTTATATATTAATTTCAGCCGGTGCGCCTCCAATCATTACTTTGCAGCCCTTCTAAATAATTGATTATAGTCCGTTATGATTGACAAAAAGAAAAAAAAATACTTCAGTCTCATTAGAGTAAAGAATCTCAACTCTGGCAGCACTCAAAGGACAAAAAATATGGCCGCTCTATTTTGATTTATTGATCGAACGGTCATAAGAAAAATCGATATTAAAAAGAGAATCGTTTTGTTTTCATGACGTTTTTTAGGTGCGACTCTGATTAACGATGCGACGTCCCGCGACCTGACGTCGTGCGACGGGACCAAGTAGCGTCACAGAGTCGAGTCACGGTGTCGAGTGAGGTCACGTCAGTTGCCACATGTCACGTCACACCGTGACGTCACGCAACATGACGTCACGCAACACGACGTCACGCAACATGACGTCACGCGCAGTGGTCAGGCGACGTCAGGGTGTCAAGTTGTGGAATCGTGTTACGCCATGTTTCGCGAAATAGGTCACGTGACTCTGTGACGTGATGTGACGTGCACTACTACTTCACACACAACGTTACTAGCTGCAATAACGTTTTGAAGACTGTGGCGTTTTGTGACCCTGTGCGCTGTTTCGTCATGGGTCACAGTGACGCCACGGAGGGACAAGAAATTTGAATTTGTTCTGTGAGTCTGCAATTCAGCCTTATGACACAACATCCTAATGCGTGTCCTCGATATGATGTCAGTGTGCAACGTGCTTGTCGAGCATTTAACATTATGAGTATACACGTATTTATAATAAATTATACGCAAAAATTCTGCAAAATTGTATAGATATATAGTATACGGCAATATCCTTTCACATTGTTCTTTATCAAAGACGCATTTTCTATAAATACGGCCACAAGGAACTCTTGGGAACTTACCAGAGGAGAGGGAGTCTTGTTTCATGTCTAGAGTTATGTCCAAAGAGGCGATGATGTCGGCGCAGGGCTTTCGAAGCACCTTGCCAGCGGGCGCAGGGGGCCAGCAGGTGAAGGAATCCCAGACTGCACGGCAGTAAAGTCTGCCAGATGACGCAGCTCCTGAAACAATTAGAGGGTCCATATATGAAACCGTGAAACAAATCCGGCTTGAATGTGACGCACGCTGCACACGCATACTGATACAAGTGTTACGCAAGCATACTCGCTTGCAACGCCACCGAGACAGAAGCCTCTTTGTTGTGGTGTAGATGCAGGGATAAATTTGTGAACCGATTATTGCATGTCTCTCCTTCTCAAGCTTTGATGACGTAGTGGGGGAGATCAACCCAACGGAATGTCAGGGGAATGCCGAGCCCTCCGCAAGCTCATCGGTTGTACAATTGTACTTCACCCCCATAATGTCCAGCTGGCTAAAAAAAAAAAGCACCAGCAGAGTTGGAAATAATTAAGATCGAAAAAAAAAAGATTGCTTGACGAATTCTCAATAAATTCCAAGGCACCAAAACCTCCGCAGTCGGTAGAATTTCAGGGTAAACGTAAACCATTCTGTTCATTAAAATTACACAAAACAATTGACTTCGCGAAAGCGTTTGATCGCGAACCACATAACCGGTTGATACATAAGCTGGCTAAGCAAAACTTATCCACAGGTGTTGATAAATGAATTAAGAACGTTTTGACTAACAAGCCCAAATCAGTTGTGATGAACAAACGCCTCTCCTCCCCTCTCCTCGTGACGTCAGGTGTCCCGCAGGGGTCTGTACTGGGCCCTGTGCTCTTTCTTATGTGCATCAATGATCTTCACTCTAACAGCGAATCTTGCGCTCGTTTATTCACGAATGATTGCGTCATCTACCGTCCCGTTATAGACCCTCGCGATAATACAATTTTCCAAGATGACTTAGACATAGTTTCAATCTGATGTGACACTTGACTGATGAAAATAAGTACACACAAAACAAAAGCTATGATGTTCACCTCAAAACGACATCTCACCCCTTACACGTACTTCATTGGTAGTGACGCCGTTGGAAATGTCTCATCCTTTAAATATCTTGGCGTACATCTCTTATCGGACTTAAAGTGGAACCTTCACATTGAACACATTGCGAACAAAGCGTCGCGAACTCTTGGCTTTCTCAAACGAACACTGTTTTAAGCAGACTTAGATGCAAACCTTCTTGCCTGCACTGCCCTTGTCAGATCTCAACTTGAGTATGCATCAGTCATCTGGCACCCTCATCAAACATGTCTGGCAGATAAGATTGAATTCATTTAAAACAAAACTGCTATATTTATAGCTAGCGACTACTCCCGATTCACAAGTGTAAGCAGTTTTAAACTTAGACTTAATTTGCCACCTCTTCACACAAGGAAGCACATCGCACGCTTATCATTTATTCATAAACTGTATTACAGTCCCTCGCCTTTTAGGAAGTCAATCCTACTACCGCCTCACCATATTTCGCCCCGCTTGGATTACTCTTTCAAAAATAATCTCATATTTGCACGAACCAACATGTTTAAAAAGTCTCCACTACTGCTTGCTATATCGGACTGGAACAGCCTCCCCCAAGAAATTGCCTCCATCAGTGACTATCAGTCCTTGGTCTTCGCACTAAATATGTTAAACCTTGAATAGCCTTGTATCCCTGCAATATTTGTTGTTGTCAGTTTCTTGCTTATAATGCACATGCTTTTATTGGGCGCCATCTTTTTTATCTCTTATGTTTGAAGGGCAAAATTGCACCAAACGCTTTCTACCTTCGATGTTTGCTTTGTACCTTTATTTTTTATCATTGCCTCCTCTTGTTGTCGCTTGGTTCAGTTGTACCAATCTTTGTATTACGGTCCCCTTATCTAATGCCAGAAAATGCCCTTAGGGTTAAAATAAATAAATAATTTATCACCCTATCTCAAATAAAAACGAACAGTACTAGAAGTGTGTGTTACCACTCGAAATATCGTATGATTGTTATGATACGACAAAATATCAGCCCTATAAGAATTGTTGCTATAACTACTGAATACTTATCGGCGAATGATGCGATCTCATTGGCCCTAGAGTGACAGTAAGATGCCCACAACTCATCATGCCCTGCGCTTTGTTAAGTTGTCACAATGGCTATAGCGTGCGAGTGCGAACAAATCGGCTTCGAAACGCTGGCTAAGCTGTGGGTCACGGACAGGGCAATATTTCTCAAAGACTGCTCATCTGAAAACAGACAAACGAACGTTCGCGTGGTGTCATAGCCGTTTTGTTTCTGTTTTCCTTTATGGTCCGAATGCATTAGTTTTTGTGCACTGATCAGCCAAAGCATTATGACCGTCTACATATTACCGTGTTGATTAAACTTTGGCACGCACAAACAGCTGCGATGGTTGTCTGCTGCAAAGTCCCATATTAATCAGAGTAGATATTGATACAGATATACAGATACTCGAAACTATCTCTGAGATGCTAGCGCGATACATTTCCATCGCGATACTGTCCAGTCTTGTATCAAACGCAGATACGAGAAGCGTTAGGTGATGATGCACTTTGAACGCTGCCTGATTTACTCTGTCCGCGCGTCGCGTCGGCTGGACTCGGACTGGGCGTGAAACGGTGTATGGTACATAAGTGCAAGCATCCCTAAACTAGACAAAAAATTTCAAGACAAGGAAGCGCGTTTTATATTTAAAGATTAGTCGTCATTCACGCGCGTAACAGCACTAAAGCTAAGAGCTAATCTAATTTCATTAGACACCAGGCGCAAGATTTCGCGTCTTGCATTTGTTGACATTTGTTATTTTCGCGTCCTCCTCAAAGAAGAACTCTTAACCCCCTCCCCCCCCCCCCCCCCCTTTCGCCTTATTGCGTTTTTCCTAGACACGGCCATTCTCGTCAAATTCGAATATCCAAAAGCCGTACAAATCAATTTCAAGACTGCCCTCTACAGCTTGAAAATTCTGAGTGGAACACATTGCCCCACATATAGTAGAAATAGGCTATAGCTTGGCGTCAATTAAAAATCTTAATCCGATTAATCGTTCCTTTTAAGTTGAATAATTAAGCTATTAATTGGTTTCGCTTATTCCCATTCATAGTAAATATTTTTTTTAAAAAGGTCAATATTGAACTTTTTATTGCCTTTGCTTATTATATGATAAACGGCGGCATGTATAACTTCGGATTTTAAATCAACATTGGTGCGTACAGAAGGTTAAGGCCCAAACGAGCTAGTGATGTTTGAACATTATTGACTCAAACCACGAGCCTGGGGCAAGAAGGGGACGAACAAACGCAAGGTCTCAAACACAACTGAATTTAATTTGACAAGCGATCTTGCTTATATAGGCTCCAATCTCCAAAAAGCACTCAAAGCCTCAAAGTAGTAGTTGAGCCGCAGAGGCAAACAGGTTCCTTGATATCCCAGGGCAATAGCGAACCCCTTTAATTGTTCACAACCGCCTCTGCTGCGCTAAACGAACACTCGCACGGCGTTGAAGCGGCTCAGACACGTGTAGCATTAACAGCTTATTTTGAGTAACAAATCTTGGCTGTACAGTTCACTGTGGGTGAAAATTGCACCTAAAGTTTGCCTTTATACATGCGTAATCGTCCACGTCTTCGTGATGAAAGCGTTAAATATACTAAATAGCTGGTTAAAAATGTTCATTGCGATTAATGCATTCATTAATTAGTCGGTAAGTTAATCAATAAAGCACCCAGCCCTAGCAAACAGTAGATAAAACCAAGTTCAAGTCAGCTAGTGATTTGTTATTTTGAATATGTGTGCGAAGAAATATACTTTTTGTACATGTCGAGAATGCTTCTGTTATTTTTTTTTTTCTGTATTCTTTACGACAGAACTTAATTTTCGTGACCTTTCGTGCATGTGGAAATGTTGTTTCATTCACAGTGACGTTGAATTGGTTTGATATTCATATATATTGCCGCGTGCATGATCGAGAAGTTAAGCTTCACCGTTCATCTAGAAGATTCGCGTACATTCTTACCCCGAGAGTAAATTATAAGGAGGCCAGAATGATCTTGCCTAGTCAGCCTCGCCCTTGCTCTCTCCCGAACATTCCAGGTCGCTAGGTCGAATATTCGAGATGACGAGCGAAGTAGATTAAAAGCCGAGCGCCGTATGGCCGATTGATTCGCTGATTTCTCTCTCGCAATTGCCAGCTGTTACATAAACGAACCGTCGTCTGCTGCTGCTGCCACCGACACTCGCTGCTGTTTTCTCGACGTTTGTTCTTCTCTTTTTCGTGTCCGGCGTAAGTTCGCTCCCATTAATTCTTAAGTTTTTCCCGTTTTCGCCTTCCTTATCGACTGTCGAAGAAAACCCTTGGTGAAAACAGCTAAAAAGAACGATATATTCTTCGACGTTTCGGCCGGAGTCCGGCCTTCGTCAGGAAGACATAACTTAATGCTATGCGAAATTCTGCACGAAGCGCGTAATCGCCAACTTTACTTTTTTATTGCTCTATCCCTACTCACAAAATGCCCTTCGGGGCACTTTGAGGTATATTACATAATAAATAAATAAATATCCGCTTTCCGACGTTGGCTAAGCTATCCCACGGACATAACAACGGTGCTCGAAGCCTACGCACCGCATGACGGACAAACAAACATTCGCGTGGGGCACTACCCTTCTTGTCTCATTTGCATCTCAGCTTGCATCCGCCTTCGAAGGACGCCGGTGATGGTGAGTGCTCAAGGAACCAGACTGTAGAACTTGCCGGAAGAAAGAAGCGGCTCAGGAACAACAACAACGGCAAAACGATACAGTGAATGATGACCAACATCTATTATGAAGCAGGTTTCGCACAGAAGTTGGCCAAAACAGATCGATCTTAGGACGAGAAGAGAGAACCACAGCAAACAATAACGAAAACACCGAATGCAATTCCCGCCTGAACGAGGCACAGACAAAACCTGCTGACGCCGTTGTCCGTGGGGCTGGGTTAGTTGGTCCTTGCGGAGTTTCCTCCTCGTAGCCGCGCATAATAAATGAACGAAGGGCCGGTAAATGACGCGTCAAAGTGTGCGGGAACGCGCCGAATCGGCGCTTCCGGGCTTCTTAACGACCTCTCAGTGGTAC